AAGAAGACATCTAAGATGTCAAAAGGTGATAGTGAAAGAGAGCACAGATTTCCACCTTCCCTACAGAAACCCACCCTAAGCCCGTTTCATCTCCTTACCACCCGAGTTGAAGTAAAGGACTGAAGAAATGTCTTGCTTCCCCGAGGTCTTCTGAAAGGCACATTTGAAGATATGCACATGCTCCTACTGAATGTGCTCTATTTCTCTAAATTGTACATGTCAGTGGTTCTTCAACCTCAACAGTTCATTTCACCTGAGCTTCACCAGAGTCAGCATGAATTGTAAAGTCTCAGATTGCAGATCAGTTGACTGTTTTTCTTTCTGTGTAAGGGCTACACCACCAGAGCCATTTTATGCTTTTGGGTGACTTGCAATACCCCCAGTTGCCCCATTAACAAGGGTGCTTACGTCCTGCCATGTCCTTTTTTTTTTTTTTTTTTTTTTTTTTTTTCCTTTTTTGTCTTTTTTTGTGTCCGGCAATGGATCGCAACCCTCAGTGTCGCACCCGTACCGGACCGGGACCGGCAACGGGATCGCAACCCTCGGTGTTGCGCCTGCACCTCGCTCAGCCAGTGAGCGGGAACCGGTCTGTATGTGGGATCCGAACCCTCGGTGGGAGCGCCGCTGCGCTCCCAAGCAGCGCACTGTAGCAGTGCGCCACCGGGCCGGCCCCCGTGTCCTTTCATTTTAACCAGCAAGACTCCCATAAGCATTTCTTGCTGGGCAGGTCTGGTGGTAAAAAAAAAAAAAAAAAAACTCCCTTAACTTTTGTTTATCTGGGAATGTCTTAATTTATTTCTCACTTTTGAAGGACAGATTTGTCAGATATAGGATTTTGAGTTGATGTTTTTTTTGTTTTGTTTTGTTTTTAGTACTTTGAATGTTTCTGTTCACTGCTTTCTGGTCCCCAGTGTTCCTGAAGAGAAATGGCTGATAATCTTATTGAGGATCGCTTGTATGTGATGAATTGCTTCTCTGCTGCTTTCAGGATTCTCTTTGTCTTTTTCTTTCAAACGTTTGATTATAACATGTATCATTTTGTGTCTCTTAGAGTTTGTTGAGCTTCTTGAATGTTTATATTCATGTCTTTTCATCAAATTTGGGAAGATTTCTTGCCATTATCTCTTTAAATATTCTCTCTGCCCCTTTATCTCTCCTACTCTTCTGGAAATTCCCCAATGCGTATATCGGTGCACTTGATGATGTTCCACAGATCCTTTAGTCTCTGTTCACTTTTCTTCAATCTTTTTTCTTTCTACTCCTTAGACTCAATAATTTCCATTTTCCTGTCTTCAGGTTTGCTGATTCTCCTGCTGCCGAAATATGCCTTTGAATCCCTCTAGTTAATTTTTTTTTTTTCTTCAAAGATGACCAGTAAGGGGATCTTAACCCTTGACTTGGTGTTGTTAGCACCACGCTCTCCCAACTGAGCCACAGGTCGGCCCTCCTCTAGTTAATTTTTTATCTCAGTTATTGTACTTTTCAGCTCCAGAATTTCTTTTTGGTTTTTGGGGAGTTTTCTATCTCTTTATTGATATTTCCATTTTGTTCAGACACTGTTTTCTTGACTTTCTCCACATTTTCTTTTAGTTCTTTAAGAATCTTTAAGACAGTTGTTTTAAAGTCTTTGTCTAATAGGTCTACCATCTGGTCTTTCTTTGGGACTGTTTCTGTTAATTGTTTTACTTTGAATGGGCCATACTTTCCTGTTTCTTTGTATGACTTGTACTTTTTTGTTGAAGACAGGACATATGAATCTAATGACATAGTAACTCCAGAAGTCAGATTCTTCCCTATCCCTGAGGTTTGTTTATTGCAGGATGTCTCTGCGCCTGGGATTAGCCTGAGGTGTAAACTTGAGGTCTTCTCTGATCTTTCCTGAGCCTGTGCCTCTCTCTGGTATAGGTGGTGACTTTTTAACTTTCCCCTGTATATGTGGTTGCTTTTGAATGCCCTCATTTTCTTTTTTCTTTCTTTTTTTTTTTTTTAAAGATGACCAGTAAGGGGATCTTAACCCTTGACTTGGTGTTGTCAGAACCACGCTCTCCCAAGTGAGCTAACCGGCCATCCCTATATATAGGGATCCAAACCTGTGGCTTTGGTGTTATCAGCACAACAGTCTCCCAAATGAGTCACAGGCCAGCCCATGAATGTCCTCATTTTCAATGTCTGGCTCCCAAAAGAGGAAAAAGAGAAAAACGAATAGTAGAGAAAAAAGTTGCCAGGCCTTTAAGTCACTGGAAGTTACTTCAGTTAGAGGTGGAGGAGCTTGCAACAATGGAGGAAGGTGCAATAATGATGGTCTCTGCCTCTTTGTCTGTATGTCTGTGATCAGGGCACAGATCCCCTATATTTGGAGGACAGAATCCTTTTTGCCCACCCTGGCTCCCAAAAGCTGCTTCTGGAACTGGTGCATAGCTGCCTGACAGGTGCTGGGAGTGGGAGATGAGTAGCTAAAATTGACAAAAATTAACTGGAATTTACTGTCCAAGCCTTCCCCTGGAAGTTGAAAGTCTTTAGTAGATTCCAGAGTTTCCAAAATAGTGACATCAGACAGATTCTGCCAATGCAATTGTCTGTGTGGGGAGACAAATTTCTGGTACTGCTTAATCCATTGTCTTCCCAGAATCCTCCTCACAGATTGAATTTTTTAAAAATTTATTTGAACAAAGTTTGAAAACTTAATGAGATAATCTTAACCCTAGGACTGCCACCGTTTTGCACACTTGTTCACAACACACCCTGGGAGGAGCACTGTCACTGTATCTCCAAAGCCTCCTCTGAAGCAGATCTTCTAAAGTATAGGGCAGGCAGTCTGCACAGAGCAGTGGACTGGAGGGAGCCACCCCCAAGGGAGCTCTGGACAGGTTGCCTCCAGACCTGTGCTGTCCCTGCACAAAATAATGCATCGAAGGACATTGGGATAGCCACTTCCCTTTCCTGGGTCTCGGTTTGTTCATCCCAGCAAATGTGGGAGTTAGACTGGATCAGTGTTACATAGAACACTGATAAATAATTCCTTAAATGAAAAAATTACCAGACCTGTAAAACTCCTAGACTCAGCAACATATATAGTAAAAACTGAATGAACTATTAGAGCAATTTTAGAACTAACACTGGTCTAGAATTTAGTGAACAACAGAAAGTATGTCAAAGCACAGAGACATAAAAAGCAGAGATAGCATAAGTCAAATTAACCTTTTGCCATAACTCAGTGTTTTGCAGTAGAACGAGGGAAAGTAGATATAATTAGGCAATCCTCTTTCCTTCATCCGGGTCTTAGTTTCCTCATCTGTAAAACTTGGGCTGGACTCATTGTTTCTAAGGAAGCTTTCTTCTAACTCTAGGTTAAATTCTTGGCCCTGTGATTACAGGAAATAGAACTGACAGGTGCAGGGAATGGCATGGAGGTGGTACTGCATCAGAGCTTTCTTCCAGACTCCTCTGAGCTGCTGTGCTCCACCACATGCAACTCATCAGAAAGTCTGACAGACTAGGCTAGGACAAGGGAGTGCTGATGTATTCTTGGTTGGATTAAGGGTGTAGGTGAGTCTGTATGACCTGCAGGGATGACTGCTTCCATTGTTTCCCAAAGATGATTTTAGAAGTACAAGACAAGGGCCAGCCTGTGGCTCAGTTGGGAGAGTGTGGTGTTGGTAACACCAAGGCCATGGGTTCAGATCCCCTTACTAGTCATCTTAAAAAAAAAAAAAAGTACAAGACATATATTTGTTACTTTAGTATTTTTGAATGTGTTTTAGTGAGTATTAAAAAGATGTGTAGTTAGCACATCAGATCTGTTTCAGAGCTGTTACTGCTTAGAATGTGGCTCTAATTTGAAAAGTGGGTTGGTTTAAAGAAGCACAAGTGATATTTGAATACAGTAGAGGGTCTGGAGGTGTGTGAAAGGAATGACTAGATTTGAGAAGCCTTGGCCTGTGGGTCAGGCCCCTGGGGTGGCACCACAGCAAGAGTGGCTGTGACACGCCTTATCCTTGCATTGGGCATTCTAGCGGCCCTACCACAAGGAGATTATCTTTCCTGTTTCAGGAGGAGACAGGCTGAGAGTGGAGATGGTCTCCTAAGACACTGCCAGGATGTGGCATAGAGTGGGACTAGAGCAGACTCTTCTGCTCCAGTGTGCCATACGGTGTCCTTCTGACAGCATCCCTTACACTTTTGTGTAAAAGTCTGGCTTAATTTTGACAGTTTTCTCATTCTCCAAATTGTTTTCCTTGTCAGCTTGTTCAGAGTCAGCTGACTTTCCCTGAATGGGGTTGTTATTATCTCTGTCACTTCATGTTTGTCCAGAGAAGGATCTATGGAGGTCTTCCTTTTCTTTGATTTGAATGTCATTTTATTTCCTTTTTTGACCTGATATTCTCCTTCTTTGATCACTTCCACAAATGGGATGTCTCTTTTTTATTGGGAGTTGTAGTGCTTTGCTTTTAATTCTTATGTAGTTCAATTTGGTTTCCAGGATCAGAATCTACTTCAGTAGTAATATATTTTAAACCAGATTCTAAGAAGATAGATGTCTGTGAAGATCCTGTTAACTACAAAACAGTTTATTCTTTTTTTTTTTTTTTTGAGACCGGCTGCACCGTGCTCAGCCAGTGAGCGCACTGGCCATCCCTATATAGGATCCGAACCCGCGGCGGGAGCGCTGCTGCACTCCCAGCACCGCACTCTCCCGAGTGCACCACGGGCTCGGCCCTATTCTTACTTTTTGTCAACATGTTCTTTGCTTTGCTTGATGATTCTTTCTTACGCTTTTTAACTAGTTTGTGAGGATTTGGAATTTGATCACAACTTCCCTTTTCATTACTGTCGATTTCCATATAGTATCCACTGATAATGCCTTGGTATTCACATCTTTTAGATTTTTTGTTTGTTTTGTTTTTGGCGGCTGGCTGGTATGGTGATCCAAACCCTTGACCTTGGTATTATAAGGCTGTGCTCTAACCACCTGAGCTGACTGGCCAGCGTTTATATTTCTTTATTTTTTAATTTTTTAATTTTAATTTTAATTTTAATTTTTTTTTTTTTTTTTTTTTTTTAAAGATGACCGGTAAGAGGATCTCAAACCCTTGACTTGGTGTTGTCAGCACCACACTCTCCTGAGTGAGCCACGGGCTGGCCCAGATTTCTTTGTTTTAAAATCAGATCTTTTGTATAGCTTTCTTGGTCATGCACATCTGTATAATTATCCAGTTCCTAATATATTTGGTTCATTTCAGAAACTATTTCTGTCTTCCAGTTTGCTTTAGATATAGAATTGTGGGTCAAAATTTAAGTACAGTAAAAATTTTAAAACATGTTGCAAACAGCCTTCCAGAATTGGGACCAATTCACAGTCTGCAGCCCTGGCTGGTGAAATGGTTTGTTGAATGACTACAGGTGTAGCCATGGGCTTTCTTTAAATCCCTTGGAGTGTGCAGTCTGCCAGCTCTGCTGTATATTTCCTGGCATTTGTGGATGAGCTAGCCTGTCTGTCCTCTACCCCAAATGATGGCAGGCCTGTTTCTCCCATCCCATCCCCCAGAATGCCGTCCGTGTCCCCCGGGACTTTGAGGGCTGCAGTGTCCTCCGCAAGTACCTTGGCCAGCTCCACTACCTGCAGAGTCGAGTCCCCATGGGCTCGGGCCAGGAGGCTGCCATCCCTGTTACCTGGTGAGAGCCAGCAGGCAGGGCTGGGGAGCAGGGAGCCTGGAAGGTACCTGAGACAGCTTGGGGGTGTCTGGGTGGTGGGGATGCACCTACCCTCTCCTCCCCTTTCTTCTTGCTGCACAGGATGGGGAGTGGCCTAGTGTAGTGTGATCTCCCTAGGTCTCCCCTCTCCATCCCCACACTGGGATAGCTGGTCCCCTTGCCTGGCCTCAGGGCCCTGGCCAGCTTCTACTCTTTAGATGACTGGGGTGGTATGTCTGCAGGACCGAGATCTTCTCAGGCAAGTCTGTGGCCCATGAGGACATCAAGTATGAGCAGGCCTGTATTCTCTACAACCTTGGTGAGCTGCCTGATCCCTCCCCAGGGCCCTACCACCCCACCAACCCTGGTTCTCAGCTCATTGGTGGCCACAAGGCAGTGGGCTAAGGAAGGGAAGAACCTGGATTCTGACCCCTTCACTGCATTCTCCCAGCTTCTCTGCTGTGTTCTGGGCCCACAGGGAGCCACTGAGCTGGGGAGAGTCTCTACCGGGCTGGCTGCAACACAGAGTTGCCACCGTGTGCTCCAGCTGGGAGAGATGGCCTTTCTTCTTTGACTGGACATCACCCTCCCCCCTTGTGGCTTTGGGCTGCTTCAGGCAGGAGGAGAACAAGGCTGGCCTCAACTTGCCCTGCTAGTCAGTCTCAGCCTGGCTCCAGGGAGAAGCTTGGGGAGCCCCAGACTCCTGCGTAGGCATCCCTGAAGCTTCAAGCCTGGACCCCTAGACCATGGACAGGGGTGCCCCCTTCCTCTCCCTGCACCCGTGCAAGTGCAGAGGTAGAGACTAAGGGCTTGGCTGCACTTCTGAGTTTTCCTGTTCACTCCAGCTTTGGTGTCCCTGGACTAACTGTCCTAGTTCTCAGACCACTGTTTTCCTGATTCCACAATCAGGATGACAACAGTGCTCCTGACACTGTGTCTTCTGCCTCCTCAGGGGCGCTGCACTCCATGCTGGGGGCCATGGACAAGCGGGTATCTGAGGAGGTGAGGAGGAGAGGGGCAGTGTGGGACACATGGACCTACCAGGGAGAGGTGCTGAGTGTTCTCCGCCTCTGGAGTTGGAATGGCTCCTGCTCCATGGAAGGGACACAGGCCATCCTCCCCCTCTTCCCTCCCAGGGCATGAAGGTCTCCTGTACCCACTTCCAGTGTGCAGCAGGCGCCTTTGCCTACCTGCGTGAGCACTTTCCTCACGCCTACAGTGTCGACATGAGCCGCCAGATCCTTACTCTCAATGTCAACCTCATGCTGGTGAGCAGGTGCCCTGGTTAAAACTGAATTGAGTCCAGAGGAGAGGGCCGTTAGGTCAGGATCTCGGACTAGGCCATGTGCAGATGGCAGCACAGGACAAGTGAGGGGCTTTCGTTTTGGTCTTATGAGCCCTGGGTGGATCAGCAGTAGGGTGGTGCTTCTCAGAGTGGGGGAAATTGGCGGAGAGAGGGCAGCAAAAAGAAGATGCCTTGGTCTACCCCTGGGGAATGGAAAGAACTCAGGTGAGTGAAGGAGTGCACCTGCATGTGTCGCGCCAGGGCCAGGCTCAGGAGTGCCTCCTGGAGAAGTCGATGCTGGACAACAGGAAGAGCTTTCTGGTGGCCCGCATCAGTGCACAGGTAGGTGCCGGGGCTGAGGGCAGGCCTTGGCTGCAGTCCTGACCCCCACCAACTGGTCCCCTGTTATCTCCCAGGTGGTGGATTATTACAAGGAGGCATGCCGGGCCCTGGAGAACCCCGACACTGCCTCACTGCTGGGCCGGATCCAGAAGGACTGGAAGAAGCTCGTACAGATGAAGATCTACTACTTTGCGGCTGTGGCTCATGTGAGGGCACAGGGCCATGGGGGCTGGGCTGGGCTGGGCTGAGTCGCGGCCCAGGGAACGAGGCATAATGGCTTTTCTTTTTCTTTCTTTCTTTCTCAGCTCCACATGGGGAAGCAGGCGGAGGAGCAACAGAAGTTCGGGGAGCGGGTGAGTGAGCTGTTTCTGTCCTTCCCTCACATCCCTGGCACCACCCCTGCAGGCCTGGTGTGTCTTACATGTTGTCCCATCTTTGCAGCCTTCATCCTGAAGGGTCGGAGCAGGCATGGATAGTGGGAGGTGTAAGCTGGCTGCCAGCATCTTGTCTTCTGATGGGTCACCTCAGGGCTAGATGGGGAGGCAGGAGTAGGGGTCCAAGCAGGGAGGGACAGACCTGGCTTTGCCTGCTGCCCTCTGCAGGTTGCATACTTCCAGAGCGCCCTGGACAAGCTCAATGAAGCCATCAAGTTGGCCAAGGTAAAGCTGAGGAAGGCCCGGCTGCCCCTCAGAGCCCTGAGGGTAGGGGGAGTCCTAGTGCTGGCTGTGGTTGGTGCTGAGGCCCCAACCCTATTTCTACCCCGCAGGGCCAGCCTGACACTGTGCAGGATGCGCTTCGCTTCGCTATGGACGTCATTGGGGGAAAGTGAGTCTCTGTGGGGCTAGGGGTGGCCTTCATTCCCTCTTGTTATGAAGAGTCTCGTTCCTCTGCTGGGTCCTTGGGAGGAAGTCACCAGTGTCAGAGAGCAGTGCCCCCCATGGGAAGCTAGGTCTTGGATCCCTGCTGACCCCCCCCCACAACTCCCTACTCTCCCCACTCCCAACCTCTAGGTACAATTCTGCCAAGAAGGACAATGACTTCATTTACCATGAGGCTGTCCCAGCACTGGATACTCTTCAGCCTGTAAAAGGTTTGGGAGCTGAGGGGCAGCGGAGGAGTGGAGTTAGGGGTGAAGATGGCTGGGGGCAGAACAGAGGCTGCCTTGAGGTCTGTGTGAGCCTGAGCTCCACCATTCTTCCCACTCCAGGAGCCCCCTTGGTGAAGCCTTTGCCAGTGAACCCCACAGACCCAGCTGTTACAGGCCCTGACATCTTTGCCAAATTGGTACCCATGGCTGCCCACGAGGCCTCATCGCTGTACAGGTGGGTGGGAGGGGCTGGTCCTGTTCTTGGCACAGAGGGTATCTCAAGAGATGTGGGCCTCCAGTACCTGCTCTGTCACTTCTGCAGTGAGGAAAAGGCCAAGCTGCTTCGGGAGATGATGGCCAAGATTGAGGACAAGAATGAGGTCCTGGAGTGAGTGTGGGACTGGGGGTGGGAGGCAGAAGGGTGCATGCCAGGCTACTTTGGGGTCCCAGTGCTGCCTGTGATGGCAGAGAAGGAGTGAAATGTCTGTTCTCATTGGTAGGTCTCCGAACTCTGCCTCCTTGCCCAGGGTGGCATGGGCTAGTTATAAGGTCAGAGTCATGTGTCTGTGGGAGAATGTTCCTTCTGTCCCACTGTTTCCAGCTGTGTCCTGGGCATGTTCTGTGGGTCCAGGCAGGGATGGTGATTTGCTGTCTCCTAAGATCTCAGTCCTAGCTTCAGTGGTGGAGGGCTCGCCCTAGCAGGCTCCTTTTACATGAAAGGAGTTAGATCAGCACCAAGCAGCCACCTGGCACTGTTGCCCCAACAGCCAGTTCATGGATTCAATGCAGCTGGATCCTGAGACAGTGGACAACCTTGACGTATACAGCCACATCCCGCCCCAGCTCATGGAGAAGTGTGCAGCTCTCAGCGTCCGGCCCGACACTGTCAGGAACCTTGTCCAGTCTATGCAAGGTAAGTGAGCGGCAGAGCAAGCAGGTGGAGAGGGCAGCACTGAAGTCATCTGCCATGGCCTTTTCCCTGCATCCCCTGCTTACTCAGGTTGGGGGCTGCACCCCTCTAAGCTCTGGCACAGGCATCCACCCCCACACCCTGTGGGTCACTACCTGGTGCACCCTGCATCTGTGGAGCCCAGTGCGTGATGGGCCACACACAAGCCCTTCCCTGTGTGGGCAGTTCTGCCTCTTGGGGGACGGGCCAGAGTTGGTGCCTGGTCTGCCTGCCTCAGGTGCTGTCCCCAATACACACCCCCAGTGCTGTCAGGCGTGTTCACGGATGTGGAGGCCTCCCTGAAGGACATCAGGGACCTGCTGGAGGAGGATGAACTGCTAGAGCAGAAGTTCCAGGAGGCAGTGGGTCAGGCTGGGGCCATCCCGGCTGTTTCCAAGGCTGAGCTGGCAGAGGTGAGGCGAGAATGGGCCAAGTATATGGAAGTCCATGAGAAGGCCTCCTTTACCAACAGCGAGCTGCACCGTGCCATGAATTTGCATGTTGGCAACCTGCGCCTGCTTAGTGGGCCACTGGACCAGGTCCGGGCTGCCCTGCCCACGCCAGCCCTCACCCCAGGTGAGCCCCAGCCATCTCCATGGGGAGAGACTCAGAGCTGGGGATTTCTCTGGCCCCTCACTGACCACTGTTGTCTCCAGAGGACAGGGCTGTGCTAGAGAACCTGAAGCGCATCCTGGCCAAGGTGCAGGAGATGCGGGACCAGCGTGTGTCCCTAGAGCAGCAGCTGAGGGAGCTTATTCAGAAGGATGACATCACTGCCTCGCTGGTTACCACAGACCATTCAGAGATGAAGGTGGGCTGGGTGAGCAGGGTCAGGGTGGGGTTTGGCTTTGGGCTCCACCCTCAGGTGGTGAAGCCCTGAGTGTCCATCCCCCAACCCCCAACACAATTCCTCAGAAGCTGTTCGAGGAGCAGCTGAAGAAGTATGACCAGCTGAGGGTATACCTAGAGCAGAACCTGGCTGCCCAGGACAACGTCCTCCGTGCGTTGACAGAAGCTAATGTGCAGTATGCAGCCGTGCGGCGGGTGCTCAGTGAACTGGACCAAAAGTCAGTGCCTGGCCCTGTGTTCCTGCCTGGAGCCCTGCCCAGAGTCCCGCTCCAGCAGCTCACCTCACACCAGCCCTTCTGCCTGCCAGGTGGAACTCCACACTGCAGACCCTGGTGGCTTCATATGAAGCCTATGAGGACCTGATGAAGAAGTCTCAGGAGGGCAAGGACTTCTACGCAGACCTAGAGAGCAAGGTGGCCACTCTGCTGGAACGGGCGCAGTCTACCTGCCAGGCCCGCGAGGCTGCCCGCCAGCAGCTTCTGGACAGGTGGGTGTAACCTCAGAGCTGCTGGCAGAGTGTCTCCAGCACGGACAGGCTGGGCTGATGAAGGTCTGGGCCCCTTTCTTCCTGCCCATCCCACAGGGAGCTGAAGAAGAAGCCACCACCACGGCCCACAGCTCCAAAGCCACTGCTGCCCCGCAGGGAGGACGGGGAGGCAGTGGAGATGGGAGACCCACCCGAGGAGCTGCGCAGCCTGCCCCCTGACATGGCAGCTGGCCCACGGCCACCTGATAGCTTCCTAGGGAGTGGTGCCCCACTCCACTTTCCTCCTGGTCCCTTCACCAGCTCCACAGATCCAACACCCCACTATCTCTCAGGCCCTTTACCCCCTGGAACCTATTCTAGCTCCCCCCAGTTGATGCAGCCCAGGGCCTCAGGGCCCCCTGCAATTCCCATGGCACCTGGGCCTGCCCTCTACCCAGCTCCTGCCTACACGCCTGGGCTGGGCCTTGTGCCCCGATCCTCCCCTCAGCATGGTGTAGTGAGCAGTCCCTATGTGGGGGTAGGGCCACCCCCAGTAGTTGCAGGTCTGCCCTCAGCACCCCCTCCCCAATTCTCAGGCCCTGAGCTGGCCATGGCTGTCCAGCCAGCCACCACCACAGTAGATAGCATCCAAGCCCCCATCTCCAGCCACGCAGCACCCCGGCCAAACCCCAGTCCTGTTCCTCCCCAGCCCTGCTTCCCAGTGCTCCCACCACAGCCACTGCCCACACCCTACACCTACCCTGTAGGAGCCAAGCAACCTCTCGCAGCTCCCCCAGCCCAGCACCACTTTTCTCCTGGGATCACAGATTTTCCAGCCCCGAGGATTGGGCCCCAGCCTCATCCTTCACAAGCAGCATTTGGACCTCAGCCCCCGCAGCAGCCCCTTCCACTCCAGCATCCACACCTTTTCCCACCCCAGGCCACAGGACTTTTATCCCCACAGCCCCCCTACCCCTTTGCCCCCCAGTCTGGTGTCCTGGGGCAGCCACCACCAGCCCTGCACACCCAGCTTTACACAGGTCCATCACAAGACCCTCTGCCCCCCAACTCAGGGGCTCTGCCTTTCCCTAGCCCTGGGCCCCCTCGACCTCCACATCCCACCCTGGCATATGGTCCTGCCCCATCTCCCAGGCCCCTGGGCCCCCAGGCAGCCCCTCTCTCCATTCGAGGCCCCCCCCCTGCTGGCCAGCCCACCCCTAGTCCCCACCTGGTGCCTTCACCTGCCCCATCACCAGGGCCTGGCCCACTACCCTCTCGGCCCCCAGCAGCAGAGCAGCCCCCGTGCCTGCGCCGAGGCACTGCGGCTGCAGATCTGCTCTCCTCTAGCCCTGAAAGCCAGCATGGTGGCACTCAGCCTCCTGGGGGTGGGCAGCCCTTGCTGCAGCCTACCAAGGTTGATGCAGCTGAGGGCCGTCGGCCCCAGGCCCTGCGGCTGATTGAGCGGGATCCCTACGAGCATCCTGAGAGGCTGCAGCAGTTGCAGCAGGAGCTGGAGGCTTTTCGAGGCCAGCTGGGGGATGCAGGGGCTCTGGACACTGTCTGGAGGGAGCTGCAAGATGCACAGGAACATGATGCCCGAGGCCGTTCCATTGCCATTGCCCGCTGCTACTCGTTGAAGAACCGGCATCAGGATGTCATGCCCTATGACAGTAACCGTGTGGTGCTCCGCTCAGGCAAGGATGACTACATCAACGCCAGTTGTGTGGAGGGGCTCTCGCCATACTGCCCACCCTTAGTGGCCACTCAGGCCCCACTGCCTGGCACAGCTGCTGACTTCTGGCTCATGGTGCATGAGCAAAAGGTGTCGGTCATTGTCATGCTGGTGTCTGAGGCTGAGATGGAGAAGGTGAGAGCAAGAGGCTGGGTGGGTGCCCACAAGGGCAGTGTGGGATGGTAGGGCAGCGGACCCTGGAAAACCAGCCCTAACTGTAGTGGCTTGTCTGCCCTTCAGCAAAAGGTGGCACGCTACTTCCCCACTGAGAGGGGCCAGCCCATGGTGCATGGTGCCCTGAGCCTGGCCCTGAGCAGCGTCCGCACCACTGAAACCCACGTAGAGCGAGTGCTGAGCCTGCAATTCCGAGACCAGAGCCTCAAGCGCTCTCTTGTGCATCTCCATTTCCCCACTTGGCCTGAGTTGTGCGTCCACGGCCCTGGATGAGGGTTGGGGGAGGGCGAGGGCCTTCGATCAGGCCTGGCTCAGACCCTGCCCTGCCCTGCAGAGGCCTGCCTGACAGTCCCAGCAACCTACTGCGCTTCATCCAGGAGGTGCACACACATTATCTGCACCAGCGACCTCTGCACACGCCCATTGTCGTGCACTGCAGGTAGGGGCAGGCAGCTGCCTGAGAGTTACTCTGACATAGGCTCTTGACCTGGCCTCACACCCCCTTCTTGCTGCAGCTCCGGTGTGGGCCGCACTGGAGCCTTTGCGCTGCTCTATGCAGCCGTGCAGGAGGTGGAGGCTGGGAATGGGATCCCTGAGCTGCCTCAGCTGGTGAGGCGCATGCGGCAGCAGAGGAAACACATGCTGCAGGAGAAGGTGAGGGTCTGGGCAGGTCGGGGCTGGGAGGGCCCTCTGCCCTGAGATGATGGGCCCTTACCCAGCTAACCAAGCCAGATGCTCCTCTGCAGCTGCACCTTAGGTTCTGCCACGAGGCGGTAGTGAGACATGTGGAGCAGGTCCTGCAGCGCCATGGTGTGCTCCCTCCATGCAGACCCTTGGCCAGCACAAGCGTCAGCCAGAAGGTGAAGGAGGTTTCCTGGGGGCTGTCAGGACAGCCACACCCTTGTGAAGCCCTCTCCTCACCCACTCTGTCTTCTCAGAATCATCTTCCTCAAGATTCCCAGGATTTGGTCCTTGGTGGGGACGTACCCATCAGCTCCATCCAGGCCACCATTGCCAAGCTCAGTATCCGGCCTTCTGGGGGCTTGGATTCCCCGGCTGCCACCCTGCCAGGCCCTGCAGAGCCCCCAGGCCTGCCACCGGCCAGCCTCCCAGAATCCACCCCCATCACTTCCTCCTCCCCACCTCTTCTCTCTTCACTGTTGCCTGAGGCCCCCCAGCCTGAGGAGGAGCAGCTGGTGCCTGAAGCCCCCAATTTGGGGCCCCCCTCCTCCTCCCTGGAGCTGCTGGCCTCCTTAACCCCAGAGGCCTTCTCCCTGGACAGCTCCTTGCGGGGAAAGCAGCGGATGAGCAAGCAGAACTTTCTGCAGGCCCATAATGGTCAGGGGCTGCGGGCTGCCCGGCCCACCGATGACCCCCTCAGCCTTCTGGATCCACTCTGGACACTCAACAAGACCTGAGTAGGCTTTGCCTGCCTGGTTCTTACACTACATCATCTCCCAAGCCCAGCACAGGCCTCTCCTGGGGGGGGGCACAGCCTCTTACTCCCATTCCTGCTGCCTTTGGCCCTGCCTGGCCCAGCCCGTGGGGTGGAAATGTACCACGGGCCTTGGGTCAGGTTCTGCTCCTTTGTGGGACCTGACATTTTTCAGCTTTTTGCTATTGAAGTAATAAACCAACCTGTTCTGTGGCCATCGTCTGAGTCTGCCCATTGCTGCCTCAGGGAGGGAGCCTCAGCTGAGACAGCAGGGCCACTCTTTGTTTGAGAGGTCTGGAAAACAATTTGTTAGGGAGGCTCTCCCCCTTGCTATCCATGTTGCTATACATTTCTTGGGCAGCTCCCTCCTGGAGCAGATCTGAAAAGGATTAAGGCACAGGGAGGTAGTAGGTAAGTGACACAGGAACTCCTCCAGGGGAAGATAGATAGATAGATACAAGTAGCTCACAAGCTCTCTAGCAGATGTTATTTTAAAAAAATTTAATATTACAGTCAGAAGGCAGGACAGTTTAGAGGCAGCTACCAGAAGATGCTCAGCTCCTTTCCCTCAGTTTAAGTCCAGTGCATAGGCCCCATACAACACTCCTGCCGGGAGGCCCCGGTGTAGCCAGTCGAGGGGGTGTCTCAGCTGTTATCTGCCGTCAGTCCAGCTTCTCCAGCACAGAGGGCACATATACCAGGCTGAGCTCGCTGCCAAAGTTGCAGACAATGGCAGCATTGTCCAGCACCAGGATCTGGCGGGCAGGTTGGGCCTCACTATTCTTCCCCAGATAGACTGTCTGTAACAGGTCCCCGTAGTTTAGGTCCCAAAAGGAGACACAGCCCTGGCCACCTGTCACCAGCAGGTTGTCTGAGATGACACCGAAGCTTGCACCACAGCCCAAGTCCTGAAGGCAAGGACATGACAAGCTCAGTAATCTTGAGTTCTTTCCTACAACACCAAGAATTCTATGCTTTCCCCCACCTGCCTACCTGCTGAATGGAGTAGAGCTTGATGCCTGTGCTGCGGTCCCAGATGCTGATGAGGTCATCCAGACCACTACTGATGACGCATGAGGTGGTACAGGTGAGGGAGGTGACATCCCCACGGTGAGCAAACATGTGGCTGACCCGGCTGCCAGTCAGCACATCCCACAGGCAGATGGCCCCATCTTGTCCTCCACTGGCCAGCACCATGGTCTGGGGGAACAGGTCCAGGGTAGTGGGGTCACTGTGGTGGAGTACCTTTGTTGACAACAGTGTCCCCCTCTGCTTCATGGAAGGCCCCTCCCAGGAGTCAGTCAGGCCCAGCTTGGTACCCCTCCACCCCACACCCACAGCCCCCTATAAGCCCCTCACCTGGTCGATGTATACAGCCGTGATGGCCCCTGAGTGGCCCTGCAGGGTGAAGAGGCAGCACGAGTCCTCCAGACGGAACACCTGGGACATGGATAAGCATCAGTTCTGGTCTCTAGGATTTTCCAAGTTTGGCGAAGACATGCCTTTCAACATTCATCTGGGACTCTTCCTGACTGACCCAGAAAAGTCCCCACCCCTTGTGCCAGGCCAATCCAACACCCACGTGATGAGATAACACTCACTCTCAGTGTGTGATCTTGGCTCCCAGTCACCAGGCGCCCGGCAGCAGCTTTCAGGGCTGTGATGGGTTTTTGGTGTGCACAGGGCACTGTGTGGGTCAGGTGACAGGCCACTGTGTCGCTGCTGCTGTACATGGGAGATGTGGGGGAACTGCCCCGCCCTGGGGTCCCTGAGGACAATGGGCCAAATGATGGATCTCCAAAAAGGCATCTAGCAGACATCCCTGCATTCCACCCACCTTGTGTGCACACCTGCCCACCCCAGGCCCTCTGACCTCTGAACTGCAGGGGGCTGAGGGCAGTATGTGTCTCCAAGGAGAAGAAATCGAGGGAACCATTGAGCCGAGCAGCCACAATCCTGGAAGAGAAGAGCAGCTGCCAGGGTGACTCCCTCAGAGCCCCCAATCTTGGGGCTGAGTTTGGCTGGGCACATGGGAATAAGAGACAAACAGGCCAGTCCAGTGCAGGAAGGAAGACAAGGGGCCGTGGCCAAGAGAAAAGCCCAAGATGCTGGAACAGATCCTAGAGCCAGAGAGCTCACATTAACTATTAGTTTCTCAGTTCCTTCATCTCTGAAATGGGGATAACAGTACCCACTTCCCAGCATGGTTGTGAGGATTAAATGAGCTAATACGCATAAAGTGGCACCTGGTGAACGTCACCGTAAGGGTATAAATTAAAACAAAAACAAGCGGAGGGCTCCCCTCCATGGCCTGGAGCTTCAGGGAAGGCTTCTGAGGAGGGGAAACAGGATCTAGGGTGGGGCTGCATTGTGGAGCTGCAGGAGGCTGCTGTCTCCATCACATAAAGGCAGCTTCCACCCACACACAGCCCACTCCATCTCCTTCCACAAAGAAATAAGAATTTTCTTTGCTTGCTCCCAAGAAATCCTAGGCACCAGTTGACAGGCAGGGATGTCCATTTGCCCAGTAGGCCCAAAACGTCACAGTGGGTGGGGTTCAAAATCTTCCTCCAGCCAAAGGCAATGGACATCCACCACCTCTGCCCCTGAATTTGAAGGGCCCACAGCAGACCTGGGGAAGCTTCGGTATATAGGCAGGTGGAGAGCAAGGAGGAGAAACCACGGTCACCAAGAACTTTGAGGGTCAAGCTGAGACTAAAATTTACACTTTCCCTAAAGCTAAAACAAGCAAGCAGAAGGGAGGATTTCCAATGAGCATGGAGGGACCAGATGAGCTTGGCCAGTCTGGGGGGTAAGATGTCAGCCAAGGCCTGCGCAAGAATCCCGGCAGTGGCAGCAACAAAGGCAGCAGCCCACTGGCTGAGGGCAAGGGATACCCCCACCCCAAGGGAAAAAAAAGACTTCAGCTCTAGCTTAGACATAGTGGTGCCGCCAACAGTCAGGGCCCCTGGAAGGAAGAGCCAGCATGGGACGTGCAAGTGAAGATGTTCAGCAGGAGGCACCTGGTCATGGGTGGAGACCTGGGTTCTTCAGCTCAGAAAGCCAACACCTAGTGGCTGAGATACCCCAGGGAGTGTGTGCAGAAGGAGCTCTGAGAACACCCACAGCTAAGAGGCGGGCTGAGGAGCAAGCACAGCAGGAGCAGGGAAAGAAGAGCAAACAGCGCCCAGCAAACTGACTTCAGAAGGGTGAGAAAGGAAAATGGTGTACTCGCTCCCTGTTGTCAAGTGGCTAGGGCCCTGGGAACTCACCATGTGCCAGGCCCTATTCTAAGCACTTCACACCCCATAATTCATTTAGTCCTCACCCCTTCCATCCAGGTGGTCTGCCCTCTGTTCACAGGTGTGAAGCTCGGCAGAAGTCAAGTCATTCACCAGTGGAGGAGAGCCAGGACTCAAGCCTCAGGGAGAGCAGCCTGACCATGAAAGGCTGGGGACATCTGGGGTTGAGGCAGGCAACCTGGCACTCTCACCTTTTGTCCAGGAAGACAAGGGCTGTGATGCCTGAAGAGACCTCCTCGCTGCTGCAACATAACACACCTTCGATGGCGTCCCACACCTGCAAGCCCAAAGGCTGTGAGCACCTGCCAGCAGGGACGGAGCACAAGCCCCCAGCGAGGACAACCCCTCTGCCCACCTCCAGCCGGCCGCTGCTCCGCCCCACCACGATGAGGCTGCCCTGCAGCTCCAAGCTCCAGATGGAACCATCTGCACTGGGGGCCCAAGCGAAGGAAGGGGAGCCCTTCTCAGGAGAGCCCCCCTCGTCGTCAGGAGTCTGGGGCAGCATGGGACCAGGTGAGGGTGGGCGCAGGGCTGGCGTGTGGACGGCAGCCAGTCCCTCCTCCTGGTACACCCGTTGCACCAGGCGGCTGAAGTCGTATCCCGGGGAGTCCCGAGCGCGGCCGTGGCCCAGCCGGTGCCGTGGCTCGGGCTGAACTGGCTCTGAGGGCCGCGGCTGTGCCGCGGCGAAGTTGGTATCAATTAAGCAGGTGAGGTCCGGCTGGTCCTCGAAGAGAGGAGGCTGCGGAGAGCCCCGGGGGCGGTGTCGCAGTGGAGGGCTGTCCCCAGGCTCCTCTGGGCCAGCCTTCCCACCATCTGACAGCCGTTCCCAGCTCTCCTGAGCCTCGAATACACTGAACATGCTGTCCACGCCACTGTCTCGGCGCTGCCTGCTGGGGGGGACGGGAGGCGGGGTGAGGAGGGTGGCGCGAGGCGATTGGTGAAACAGACGGGATGGGGTTGGGGCAGCGGCACCTACCCCGGGCGCGGGATGCGCGTGAGGCAGTCCCCGGTCTGCGCGTCCCACACGCAGACGTGGCCCGCCAGGCAGCAGCTCACCAGCAGCATCCCGTCGCTGGCCAGACACTCGATGTCCTACGAGAGCGCGCGGTGTTGGTCCCGGCCAGGGCCCCAGCCACTCCCCGCACCGCCCTCCGCCCCGCTCACCATGAGGTGGCCACGCAACACCAGCGGCACGATCTCCGTCTCGGGCGGCGAGTAGCCGTAGTCGTCGCAGGGCAGCTCCCCGCGCCTGCGCCGGCCGGGCCCACCACCGGGCTGCCCGTAGTTGCGCGGGCAGAGCACGCGGTACAGGCAGAGCAGCAGGAGCACGAGGACGATGCCCGCGGCCAGGCCCAGCGCCGCCACCCTGCGGAAGGGCAGGGGCGAGGTGAAGCGTCCCTACCCCTGACGGCTGCCCCCAATCCCATCCCCCCAGCCCACCCCCTTACTTGTACAGCGTGACGTCCCCGTGGGTCTGCGCCCCGCCTGGCCCCTTGGGCTCGGCCGTCCCGGGCCTGAGCGGGGGCCCGGCGCTGCGGCCGTCCTGAGGGTGCCGCCCCTCCAGGGCCTCTCTCGGGTTGAGGCGGAGCGTGACCGGGATGACCGGCAGCAGGCTGATGTACCTGGGACCGGGCAGTGGGTGGCCTCAGCAGGGATGCCCCGAGGGATTCCTGCTGCTGCCCTGCCAACCCGTCCCCTCCCTACTCTCCCTCTCCATGCAGGACTCAGCTCAACCTGCCACACTCAAATGACGGCCCTCTCCTGTAGCTCCCGGCATGGGGGATGAACACGGAAGCAGGTCCCGCCCCAAGCCAGCTCCAGCACATCAATCTTGCTCCCTTACACACACCAGCACCCAAGCAGCCATCATGGCTGTGCAGCTGTCTCAGAGTGGGTGGACCTCATTCTGCTGGCAGCTACCTGTGACTCCTCAGAGCAAGGACCCAGCACCTCTCTCCAGCTGTGGCTGCTTGGAGCACCAGTTCCTACCTCATCACCTTATGAATAGTTTTAATTACTTGAAATAAAATGTAGAATTCAAACCAGGGGTCTTGCACCTGAGGGGGAAGGGGATGCTCTGGGACACTGTGCTGACACCAAGTGAGGAGGTGGCAGCGGGCACGGCCCAACTCACCTCTTGGCCAGTGTGATGTTGTAGTAGCTGAAGAGCGTTGGCCAGTGGCGGAAAGACAGTTTCCTCCAAAGTTCCTCATCCTCAGGCCCCCAAGTTACCTCTGGAACTGGGCTGTCATAGACACCCTCTGCTGGACCCCCAGGTTCAGGCGGCTCACCTGGTGACGTCTGGTTCTCAGGTAGCTTCGGGGCATCAGGTGGAAAGATGGAGAAAGCAGGGTCCTGGTGGCTAGCAGGCAACATGCCACTAGGCACAGGCATGTGAGCCAGGGCGCCCTCGCCCAGCGGGCTCTGTTCTGTCACCTGAGCAGCGAGGTAGGTGCGCAGTCCTGCTGGGTCGGTGTATACCAGGATGCCAATCCAGACAACAGTGCCAGCCTGCAGTGGGGCACTGGGTTCTCAGTGGGGCCCCTGGGAGAAGTGGGTAGCCCCCACCCCTTGCAGCCTTGGCCTTGATGCTGCAAGGAGGCAGTACAGGGACCCCAGGCCTAGGAGTGGAGAGAGGACATAGGACCCAATCTGTCCTTTCCTTTTGCCTCTCCAAGTCCTCCCACTACCACCTGCTCAACACTTGCCACTGGAGGAGCCTGGTCCCCTTTCCATAGTCAGGAATTGGGTTTCCTGGCCTGGAAATACACTGGAGCACATGCAGGTTTGACACAGAACTTCCCCACCTCCCCCTTAACTAGGCCAGAAAGCTGCTGCCACTCCCGTGGTCAGCATGGCCATAGGGACCAGCTGCCTGATCTGTTCGAGACCCACAGACGTCCTAATCCCCAGAGGGCCTCAGCCTCACTCCATCCTCACTGCAGCTCCCTGGGAGAGGACTGCTGCCCAGCGCCAGCCAGCCAGCCAGCCCAGCCCAGCCCAGCTGGTGACTTAGTTTGCCCAGAAGTGGTCTGATGCCTGCACACTATATAGCAGCCAATGAACTCTAACCCAGGGGAAACATGGTAGCCACAAGATGGTTCCATCCCAGAGCACCCAGTCTAGCTGGCTCCTGTCCTGGATCACTCTGGGGAGATGATGACTCCTCTACCTAATGACCCTGGAGCTGCTTCTCCCATAGATGGTCTTATTGCCTCAGAAGCCGGTGGGGTCTAGGCAGGGAGAGCATGATGGGCAGCTTCCCGAAGCCCTGCTTCAAGGGCTGGAGGAACACCCCGCCCCCACTCCAAGGCAAAGTGCAGCACCCGAAGGGAGTCTGAGCACTAACCCTCCAGAGGAGGCAAGGCAGGGCAGGGGTGGCAGTACCATGATGAGGCGCTGTGCCAGGCGGGTGCGGGCCAAGAAGTAGATGACACGCAGCCTCTTGGGGAGCCGCAGATTTCGGAAGGAAGGCGGTTGCAGCGTGATGGTGTGGAGTGTGGATGGCCGCACAGCCAGCTGCCGCTCATAACGTGCTGGCCGCCCCACTGGCTTGGCTGGGGGCAGGCAGGCCTCAGGGGGTAGCCGCTTGTTCAGGTCCGCTAGCTGTTGGGGGTGCAGTGGTCAGGACCTGAGTCTGCTCTCCAGGCTGCCTGCATGGGGCCACTACCCCTGCCTGAGGTCTATACCCCTCTCATCCAGAGGTTCCCTGAGCACAGCAAGGGCTGAGGAGGAGGATGGGTGGGGCTGGGCTCAACCCACTCCTACCTCCATCCGGCGAATGTCGATAGACAGGACAGTGGTGAAAAACAGCATCTGAAGGAAAAAATCAGACACCAGGCCCACGACGGCAAAGAGACAGAACTCCTGGAATCAGAGCACATGAGGGGGCGCCGTGACCTCATGGCCCCAAACCCTAGAGAAGCAGTTCCCTGCCTGCAGGCACCTCAGAATCTGCAGTGCAGTGGCAGGCAGGGCACAGCAGAGGTAAAGAGACACTGGTAGTTCTGAATGTGGGAGTGGCCAATGAGGGACAGTGCCAGCAGTTCACCCCATCCCCATGAGGTGGCAGCAGAGACCCCTCACGCTTTTTTCCAGAGAGGGCCAAAGGGTGGGTGCTCTCTCTGAATCTCCTGGTCCCCCTAGTGAGGAGGGCCTTATCCAACTTGGAAAACTCTAAGCCCCACCAGCCAGGTCCCCAAAAGGTCCTTCCCCCACTGAGCCTTTGGCCCTGCTCATGTGCCACCAACCTAGCCAGAGCCCAAGCCTGATCTGATTTTGGGGCTCTCAGAAAGGTTCCTGGCCAGTGACCACACTGGACCAATGGAGAGAAGGGAGGAGAGATTAACTCTACACTAAAACTGAAAAAGGGTCATTTCCCTGTTCCCCAAGCTCTGCAACAGATGGAATTTTCTGAGATTTAAGTTTTCCTCCTCTGCCATTATTTAAGACCTCTGGCATATCAGTAGTTTCTACTCAAATCTGGGGTGAGATGACAGGGTGTAGCATAGTGGCTCAGTGGTCATGTCAGCTCTAGTGTCCCAAGATTGTATCATGTCCTGCAGACACTGCTCTTTTTCCGGGATGAAAAGCCTGGAGCCCTTTTGCTTTCTACTCATCCCCACCCCTCAGGAGGCCCTGCCAGCCCTGGGGGAAGGACAGAGGAGAGGATGATGGTGTCATCCCCTTCTTGCAACTCCTCTTGGAATGGGCAGCAACAGTCTGGGATTCCAACCCAGTGCAGGCCCACCTCCACCTCTGCCCACAGCCCCCACAGCTGAGCGAGGGCACTTTGCTGAGAGTAGGGGCCACTCGGCCATGCGTGGTGGCCAGGCCATACGTCTTGAGGCTGAAGCTCTGGGTGAGGGCCAGGGGAGGAAGATAGGAAGGGAGCAGTTCAGGGGCCCCACAGTGTTTCTGCCTGAGAAATGGGAAACTGAGTCTGACTGGAACTATACAGCCAGCCACCAGCCTCTGCCATACTCACAGAGCCTCCTACCACTGGCTGAGTAAGCAAGCAGACAGGGAAGGGTAAGAGCACAGGGTACAAGGCAGAGCCTGCCTGGCTAGGTGCTCAATTCGTAACCTAGCCAGGCTTTCCTGAGTACTTCTGAGCCAGGCAGACCAGGAGCACCCTGTGCACTGCAGCAACCAGCTTGCCAGGCAAAGAAGTCTCGTCTTGTAGGCAAGTGTGCCTGCATTGAGAGAGAGATGCACCCTGCCCACAGCTGCACCACTGGGGAGCTCAGCAGTTGGTTCCATGCCCATCCAAGGAGCTAGCCTTGGGGCCTTACCTGGATGGCGGGCACTAGAGTGAAGTAGCCAATGAGGATGATGCCCAGCTCTGTAGCCATGTTCTTCATGATGGACCAGCTCTCACTGCTTAGGCCTGCAGAGAGCAACAACAGGGCCTGGGGGCAGCACATGACCTCCCTCCGCCACATGTATGCACCCAACCTCGTGGTCCTCAAAAGCATAGAGGCACGAGGAAAGTGCCTGGCCCTCTGAGGGGTGCCCCAACCCTCCGGACCCTGCCAACACCCAGATTCCAAGGCACTGCCATCACCATACAGCTGATACAGGGAAGGGGGAACTTCCGAAGCTTGGAGGGTACAGGGGAGAGCTATAACCATCAGAAGGGAGAAGCAGGGTGCTGAGATGAGAAAACCCAAGAGGAAAGCCAAGTGCCACTCACTCTAACCAAGTGCAACCTTCACATGCTGCTCGTCTGGTGCGTGGGCTAGCATGAGTGCACCTACCAGCCATGGCAGGACGGCAAGCTTTCTTCCTCCAGCCCCTCCCCATGGTGAGCCCCAGGGCACCACGCTATCACACTGTTGCATGCACAAGGCTCTGAGCTCCTAGTGGCTAGGGACCATTTGCCTCATTTCCTTGTAACTCATAACTCCATGTCTGGCATGGAAGCTCACAAAATTCCGTGTGAGTGATTTACTGAATGAACGATCAGCCTGCCTCCAGCCCCATTCCTCACAGACATGGGGTGAGGAAGAGGAGGGGGCCTAGAGACTCTCAGACCTCCAGGGCTAGGCTCTCTCTTTTCTCACTTTCCCCAGAACCCCAGACCCGCAGCTCCTACCAGTGAGGCCAGAGGGGGCTTTTCTGGCAACTGTGGAGGCAGCATCTCTGAAGTGACCAGCCCCAGGGTTCTGGGTCTAGTCTGGTGAAGTGAGGCAGAAAGAGAAAACGCTAGGCACTGGCCCAGACTGAAGACCATCATCAAACATGAGCCCCACGGCAGAGCCTAGTTTGCTTTCTTATTGACACGTGAACCAGGACAAAGTACAGTCCAATGACCCCATGGTTCCTCAGGGCACATGCTAGGGCCTAGTGGCCTGCCGCATATTATGCTAGAGGCCAGAGCAAAGGAGGTTTTGGGGACTCCCTGTTTCCTCAGGGAGCACAAGAGCAAGAGGAACAGACCCCTCCCCCTAATTAGTGCATGCCCCTCACCCTCATATTACCTTGAGCGATCCGCAGTTTCACCTCGAGGTCCACTGGGGTGGAGACCACTGACTTGGTGAGCACCAACACATTCTCTAACCCAATAACCACCACAAGGTAGGGGAAAATCTCGCTGGGAACAGAAAAGGAGACAGTGAGGGATGGCGTTGTGGCAGGGCTCCCAACACAGGGATGGTTAACAGGTTTGGGCCCCTGGGGAGACTGAGGGGTTTCTAGCCCATAGTGGAGGCCACCAAGTGAATCCCACAGGCAAAGGGCAGAAAGTCTAACCTCCCCACCCTCATCCAACAGGGCAGGGCCTCTGTCTACACAGCTCTCAGCTTCCAGGAAGGCTCCAAAGGGCCAGCAACCATCCCTGTCTCCACCCATCCAGCATAGGAGAAGGGCTGGAAGAGGCTCCTTAGAGTGAGCTCTGCTGCCCCAATGCCAGATCACACCTCTCCCAGCCCTTCCTACACCAGACTCTGCTGCCTGAAGAAAATGATCACTGCCAAGACCTCACATCAGTAACTCCAGGCCACGCCATCACAACTAAATGGAAGGGGGATAAAAACAGCCT